TATAGATAATGTAGTCCACGCGCGCGAAGCCGCGGGCGGAAAGCTAGTGTACGATAAAGTTAGTTAAAGCGTTTGACAGAATAATCGTACGTTATGAACTGTCAAATGATAACGATTGCTTTACACAATTCCACCTCAGGTCTTAAGTCTCCATTACAAGAGCACTCTCGCTATTTTACCAAATGAAATAAGAAACAAAAGTGTCTATATTGACACTTTCGGTAGATTTTTTTTAATAGTAATCTTTACAGTAGGCCTAAGATGCGCGCCGTGCTAACTTTTATCGACGTCAAAATGTATGGGCAAAATCGATAAAATGGCGTGATAACCGCTTATCGCGGCGCGCATCTTAGGCCTACAGGAAGAGTCTAATCGAAGCCACAAACATGCATCTTATTTATTTAAGATCCAAAAAGGCCTCCAGAATTGCTACTAAAAATTTTAATTAAAATTTAAGTTACTTATTTAATGAAGTAGTATTCCAGAACAACATTGCAAAATTTTCTCAATTAATTTTGAACTTTATCCAAAAGAAACAAAGATAATATTCTAATCATAAGTTGTCTCACCTGATTGCTGACGAACTCAAGCCTGAACACTCGGTCTTGAGTCCCGTGTCTGAGCTTGAGTCCCTTGTTGGTGCGCGTGTTGCCCAAGTTGTATACCTTCGCCGTCTCATAAACGTCTATGATTTCTGCTACCTGTAGACAATTTTAGGCTTAGTTTGATGATTTTAGGATTTTTAGAAGTTAACTTAAGGTATATTCTTGACTGAGCTTGCAAATGTCCGGTTTTACAACAGTTACTTACTATATTCCTCTCTATTATCTTGAAAAAAGTTTGAATTTTAAAAATTTTACTAAGATCAACGGAGAGGATTTTGAGATCAAGGAGGATATCATACATGCAATAATGCATGAACCATTATTTATGGGACAACCTATATGTTAACTCCATTTCCGTGAGTTTTTGTCAAGTTCTTGCGGTGGCTTTTACTACAAAAGAGATACCTGCCTGTAGCTAAATGCAGAATGTAGTAACATTCACTAAAGATATGCTATCATATAAATAATGGCTTAATAAATGGCTGTAAAATATACAAAAAAGTTTTACAGATCAATCAAATACCATTTGGATTTTGAAAGCTACAGAAGTGTTTTAAAAATCTTTGAAGCAACTATATCTTTTCTAGACTAACGCCCGTATTCACAAACGATGCTTGCTTAATTGAAGCAGCAAATCGAACGCACAGCGTTGAATGGAGCTCTGTGATTGGTTCGTGTACCACCCTGTGCGTCCACACGCACTGTGAGACCTTTTAGCAGTCTTTCCCAAAGTGGGCGATAACGCCCTCTTGTGGGCGCTGCAGGCTTAAAGGGGGGCGGTAAGAGACCCAGAAAAAAAAATCGGGACGTTGTGTAGAGGCTTGGGAGGCGTCATCTACTAGGAGGACTCTTAGACACCGACTGAGTTCGACTCTTGACTACAAAAATGGGGGGCGCTAAAAAATAATTTATTCTCAAAGTGGGCAGTAGACTAAATAAGTTTGGGAACCGCTGCCTTATAGTAATGTTTGTGAATTCGGGCGTAAATGACAAATCATCTTCTTCTTCATCTTCTGCAACTTACCCTATAGACGGGATTCCCGTTGTTGTTCCCGATCCCGATCCTGACGAAGCATCCCGTCACCACGCGCGCGAAGAACGGAAGGTGAACCAAACGCTCCAGTTTGAACCTGAGGCAACGTATTCAATTAATGACCTAAGTCTGTCGCCATAATAACAATGTTAACGGCATGGTTGTGTTCCGGCAGTTAGAGGTAAGATAGCCAGTTCCTCCGTGGTTGAGGATTCCGGGTGAAGCTCGCTTCCACCTTCGGCCTGATCATCACTTACCATCAGGTGAGATACAGGCCAAGAGCTTCCTCGTTGTGGATAAAAAAAAAATTGTCAGTTAAAATAAATGAACGGGTTTGACGCAAACCGCCCCATTCGCATTTCGTCACGAATTCAAAAATGGTCATTCATTTTGTTCCATTCACAAAATGTTCACACTCATATAAAAGTTTTTTCACATTTTCAACTACACTGGTCATCACAAAAATCGACCCTCCCGCGACAAGCACTTTCAAACGTATGCAACCCCACTTCCCACAAATGTTGGCACCATTTGAAAGCCTAGTTCTAAAGTTAATTTCATTAAAGGAAAGGTTTTTACCCCAAAAATGTGTCTTTAGAAGGATCCAGAGTCACTTCTTCAAATAACACCAATATTGTTGGGGCACCATGATTGTGTGTGAGTAGAAACGAGTTTTCCTGTTAAACGTAGGTGGGCCGATTTTCGTGATGACCAGTATATTTTTTCAAAAATAGTAGACTTTAACTTTTATCTGAGTGTAACCATTTTGCGTTTGGTCTGCGTCAAACCCGAATAAACTTTGTAAAACAGAAACTACACTAAAATTAAAATGCGCATGTGAACGAGTTTAGAGTGAGTACGTCAGAGAATGAATTCGGCAGTGTGAGCAAGAGAGTGAGTTCTTCACTGAATGCATAAGTGTATGAGACAATTCGTAACTTCTTCAGCAAGTTCGTCAGCAAATGAGTGAGTGAATAAATGAATGAAATATCAAGTTTTGCAAGTTTATGTCGTCAGCGGATGAGTTCTTTAGTGAGTAAGTGAATGAGTGAGTGAGCGAATAATGAGTGATTAAGTGAGTGAGTAATTAAAAAAAATTACTAAGTTTAGGGACTGTATTATATTGTAGTCCTAAGTTGTATACCAACATGATGCAATAAAACATTTTAAATATGACTATACCTGCTAAGCCTGAGCCTAAATTATTCTTGATTCTTGAGCTTGTTGATCTGCGTTCTTCAGTAAGTGAGTGAGTTATTCAGTGAGTGAGTGGGTGAGTGAGTTATTCAGTGAGTGAGTGGGTGAGTGAGTTATTCAGTGAATGAGTGAGTTCTTCAGTGAGTGAGTGAGTGGGTTTTTCAGTGAGTGAGTTCTTCAGTGAATATGTGGGTTTTTCAGTGAGTGAATGAATGAATTTTTTAGAGAGTGAATTCTTCAGTGAGTGAGTAAATGAGTGAGTTCTGACCTGCTAAGCCTGAGCTTGTTGATCTGGTCGCGCGTGTCTGCGTACTTGACCTCGACCTCCTCGCGTTACTTCAGTGAGTGAGTGAATGAGTTTTTCAGAGAGTGAGTAAATGGGTTCTTCAGTGAGTGAGTGAGTAAGTGAGTGAGGGAGAAATGACCTATTTAGTGAGTGAGTGACAAATGACCTATTGAGTGAGTAAATGAGTGAGTTCTGACCTGCTAAGCCTGAGCTTGTTGATCTGGTCGCGAGTGTCTGCGTACTTGACCTCGACCTCGCGTTTCGTCAGTGCGTGAGTTTTTCAGTGAGTGAGTGGGTTCTTCAGTGAGTGAGTTCTATACTGAGTGAGTGAGTGCGTTCTTCAGTAAGTGAGTGAGTTATTCAGTGAGTGTGTGGGTTTTTCAGTAAGTGAATGGGTTCTTCAGTGAGTGAGTGGGTAAGTGAATGACAACTAACCTGCTAAGCCTGAGCTTGTTGATCTGGTCGCGAGTGTCTGCGTACTTGACCTCGACTTCCTCGCGTTTCGTCAGTGCGTGAGTTTTTCAGTGAGTGAGTGGGTTCTTCAGTGAGTGAATGGGTTCTTCGGTGAGTGAGTGAGTTATTTAGTAAATGAGTGTGTGGGTTTTTCAGTGAGTGAGTGAGTTCTTCAGTGAATGAGTGAGTAAGTGAATGACAACTAACCTGCTAAGCCTAAGCTTGTTGATCTGGTCGCGAGTGTCTGCGTACTTGACCTCGACCTTCTCGCGTTTCTTCAGTGAGTGAGTGAGTGAGTGAATGAATGAGTTATTTAGTGAGTGAGTGAGTGACAAATGACCTTTTGAGTGAGTGAATGGGTTCTTCAGTGAGTGAATGAGTGAGTGACAACAAACCTGCTAAGCCTGAGCTTGTTGATCTGGTCGCGGGTGTCTGCGTACTTGACCTCGACCTCCTCGCGTTTCTTCAGTGAGTGAGTGAATGGGTTCTTCAGTGAGTGAGTGAGTGAGTGAATGAATGAGTTATTTAGTGAGTGAGTGAGTGACAAATGACCTTTTGAGTGAGTTCTTCAAAGAGTGAGTGAATGGGTTCTTCAGTGAGTGAGTGAGTGAATGAATGAGTTATTTAGTGAGTGAGTGAGTGACAAATGACCTTTTGAGTGAGTGAGTTCTTCAAAGAGTGAGTGAATGGGTTCTTCAGTGAGTGAATGAGTGAGTGACAACAAACCTGCTAAGCCGAAGCTTGTTGATCTGGTCGCGAGTGTCTGCGTACTTGACCTCGACCTCCTCGCGTTTCTTCAGTGAGTGAGTGAATGAGTTCTTCAGTGAATGAGTGGGTTCTTTAGTGAGTGAATGAGTGGGTTCTTCAATGAGTGAGTGAGTCATTTAGTGAGTGAGTGAGTTCTACAGTAAGTGAATTAGTTCTTTAGTGAGTTCTGACCTGCTAAGCCTGAGCTTGTTGATCTGGTCGCGAGTGTCTGCGTACTTGACCTCGACCTCCTCGCGTTTCTTCAGTGAGTGAAGGAGTGAGTGAGTGAGTGAATGAATGAGTTATTTAGTGAGTGAGTGAGTGAGTTCTTCAAAGAGTGAGTGAATGGGTTCTTCAGAGAGTGAGTGAATGGGTTCTTCAGTGAATGAGTGAGTAAGTGAATGACAACTAACCTGCTAAGTCTAAGCTTGTTGATCTGGTCGCGGGTGTCTGCGTACTTGACCTCGAAATTAGTGATTAGTAGCATGTCAGAAGAAGGATATAGTGATAATAAAATTAAAGGTCATTGTGAAGACCCAATAACCAATATTCGGTCGATAATGAGGATATTGATTCTGATTTTCAAGTTTTTTCTTCAGAGAGTGATAATGAAGATGTTGTAAGACCTAGTCAATCCAGCTACTATGAAAAAATAAATACAAGTGGTCTGAAAATTTTCCAGCACCTGCTAATGTTTGTCAACATAATATTTATGTTTTTATTTTTATAAAATGCTTATTATTTTTATTAAACATTACATTAAAACTTTATTTGTTATTAAGTTTACATTATTATGGATTAATTAAAATAATAATATTTTTGGTTATTACTTTCTAAACGATAGGATACATAGATATTTGTAACGTTAAAAAATATTACGTAAAAAGTTGTTACTATTATGTAATGTGTTGAAGTATATAAGTAAGAAGATTTAATACAATAAAAACTAAATGATTACATAGAAAAAGCCTGATATATATCATTTATGAGCATTTATTCAAGTATATAGGTAAAACATGCTTGCTAGAAGCAAACATAGTATGGGGGCCGCGCGGCCCCCACGATACCAGTTACGTATGTCCAATTTACGATACCAGTTAAGGGTTAAGTATGTTTATATCCGTTGTCTAGTACCCATAGTACAAGCTTTGCTTAGTTTGGGACTAGAAGCGCAGTGTTAAATGTCTAAGGATATTTATTTATTATTATTTATGATGTTAAGTGGGATGCAGTCTAGGATGGTACATATCTGCCCTGTAAGTGCCTATTCACTCTCGCCTTGAAAATGCCCTTTGGCATCCTTTTAAAATAATACTCAACTCATGATACATAGTCTTTTATTAAAAAGATGCCGCGATATCAAAGTCACCCTGTATAGCGGGGGAGTATATTCGAAACGATTTTGCAACTCGAGCTAAAAGATTTTAGGCTTTAGAACCGGATGGGCCGTAGCCTTATTTTTATTTTATTTTTTTCTTTATTAAGGAAACAAACAGCATGAATTGATACATCGGGACTATTCCCACCTCTCGTTCCCACCACTGCAACTCCTGTGTAGCCAGGATCTACAGCTTGACCGCCACAAAAACCCAACCAATGAAGGTCAAGTTTGTCCCGGGGGAAAGTTGATACATGTGAACTTACAATATGAATTCAAAACTCTTACGCCGGCGGCGTGTAACCCAGGGTTAAAGTTAGAGTTTAGTCACAATCAGCATGACGCTCTATTCTGTACTTTGTTTTGTAACATACACAGGTAATAATGGACCTGATAACGATGTGAGTAGAAGATAGAGTAATTAAGAAGTAGGCCAACGGATTAGCAAGCTGAAGTGGCAATGGGCAGGGCACAGTACGCAGAACTGACGGCCGATGGGGCAGCAAGGTTCTGGAGTGGAGGCCACGTAGCGGAAATTTAATGCAGTGTGGGACGTCCACCCACAAGGTGGACTGATGACCTCATAGAGTTAGCAGGAAGACGCTGGTCCTTAAGGCAATCTTTGAAAGAGGCCTGTTTTTTGTAGAGTTTCACTAGACTTTACACATGTTATAATTAATATAAAAATGGTGTAACCCAGGGTTAAAGTTAGAGTATAGTTACCTGTAGACTTGTTATCCTCCGAGTCTGAGCCCGAGTCGTCGGAGTAGATGTCAGACGCCTTCAGCTTGACGCTCTGCTTGCCGGAGCCGCCAATAAGCTCGTCAGCGTCCTGCACACACACGGGAGTGTCTGACATCACCTTGGGAGACACCTTATACGTTAGAAGATAGTTACTAATATACCTATTACTATTACCCATGCTTGAACTGCGCTCTCACATATTAAAAACCACTTGCTTTCTTCATTGATGTCATATGTTACAAGCCATTTGCGACACGCGAGGGTCTGATATCACTTGAGAGAGCATTAGTCTGGTCTGGGAGCACGTAGAATTTTGTCCAATGACCCCAAGCTACCCATCCTTATCAGTCGCGACAGAAATATAATTACGTGCGAGCGATAAGGATGGGTAGCTTCGGGTCATTGGTCAAAATTCTACGTGCTCACAGACCGGGCTTTAATATACCTATTACCCATGCTTGAACTGCGCTCTCACATATTAAAACTCGTCCCCACATTAAAAACCATTTGCTTCCTTCATTGATGTCATATGTTACAAGCCATTAGTCTGATAACTCTGATATCACTTGAGAGAGATCTAGCGAGTTACATTATGTTTGTTTTGGGAATGAACATGATTTGCTCATAGTATTAAGTAAGTACCCATAGATGAATTGTGTCTTACTCTTCACATATTTAATTTATCTTCACTTATTATTAGTTTTTTAAAGAACTTGACGTCACAAATTAAAAGCCACTTGTCTTGCACACCACGCGAGGGGCTCACATCACCTTGGGAGACACCTTATAGGTTAAAACACGATTGATTTGGGATTTAGAATGAGAATATTTCATTTACTACTAATACACCCATGGATGAACTTCGTCCTCACATAGTAAAGCTCGACCACACAAAACCAATGATGTCTATGAGCTGCGATCTCACTTATTAAAGGCTATTAGTTTTTTAATGAACTCGATGTCACATATTGCAAGCCATTTGATTCATTAATGAAATTGATGTCACATATTAAAAGCCATTTAATAAGCACAATGAGTACGTTTGACTTGTAAAAACACTTATAATTTTTACACGCCGAATATCGGTAAGACATGTTGATACTAAAAAAACCTAACACCATAAATATTTTTCTATATTGTACATAATATTGTCACACATGTTCCGGCAAATAAAAATATGTTTATCATCCTCACACATTAAAAAGCAAACGGCTTTTAATGAGCTTAAGCTGTCCTCCAATCTCCTCTACTGTTTTTCCTTTTACACTCTAGTGGCTCTTGCCTCTGGAATTTTTATGATTTTCTATGAGTTTTTAATCCTTATTCTTCTCTTCCTCCAGTTTTCTCCTCTATTTATCCTTTTTTCTAGTGTCTTTTGGCGTACTTGCTGTCCGTCGGTATGTTTATCCCTCTCATGGTCTTTGAAGCGGTAATTGTGTTAGTTATGAATGTTAATAGCGTCTATCAAATTCAAAATTCAAATAAATCAATGACAAATACCATCTTAGTTGCACAGTTTACGTCACTCGGCAGCAATGATAGAACACATAAACTTTGATTAATGATAACACCCAACAACGAAGAGCGCCAGTTAACGCCACTGGCGAGTAAGGTTCTGTCACTCGCTAACGGCGTCAACTGGCGAGCGTAAAGTTAAAATAACACACATAAACATTGGTTACAGACAATATAACACCCAATAAACGAATAGCATGAGTTGGCGCCACTGGCAAATAAGATCTTGTCGCTTTCTGATGGCGCCAACTCGGCGCTAAGTTAGAGATATCACACAACAGACCATTAATGCCAAAATTACATAAAAAAAATAACTAGCAAGATTAGGTTGGCGTAACTTGCTAGTTGGCGCCATTGGCGAGTAATCCTGTCATTCATCAGGGGCGCAAACTGCTGAGCGTAAAGCATACACTTCATCTTGATTAATAACAAAAGAGCGCGTTCGACATAATATTGAATCTCGTTAACATTGATCTTGACCAATGGCAAGGTGCCATTGTGGTCAAATACCTGCCTTGTTTTGCATAAAAAAAACGCGTTCGACAGTGGCGCCAACTCATAACATTGAACTTCGTTAACATCCCAACTAATATTATAAATGCGAAAGTAACTCTGTCTGTCTGTCTGTCTGTCTGTCTGTTACGCTTTCCCGCTTAAACCTCGCAACCGATTTTGATGAAATTTGGCATAGAGATAGTTTGAGTCCCGGGAAAGAACATAGGATAGTTTTTATCCCGGTTTTTGAAACAGGGACGCGCGCGATAAAGTTTTTCTGTGACAGACAAAATTCCACGCGGGCGAAGCCGCGGGCGGAAAGCTAGTATACCATATTTAAACACAAAAGAACAACCAAATAACGTCATCCTTGACCTCAAGCTACTCACATCTTCCTCTTCTTTATCCTTGTTCTTCTCTTCTTCCAATCTTCTCTTCTGCTTGTCTTTTTCCACTCTGGTAGCTTTGGCGTCCCTCTGGGCTCGAAGGGCGGCCATTGCGTTCTGCCGACGATCATCGACGTTCCGTTTTCGGCCTTCGGTCTTGGCGCCGAAGAGAGGTGACGCGGAGCGCTCTGCTGATTCTGGTGGATACAATTTGGTGGTCAATTTTGTGGTACAGACATGAGATGTACATGTAAGGACTTGTTCCCACGGAGACATGCCATTTTTTGTATGATCCCGTTTAAAAATTTCATGTTTTAATATTAACGTTCACATGAACATCCCGTTTGCAATATCCTGCAAAAATCAAATTCGTTGAAATTTGTAATTAGAATTTCTACACACACATGAGTATTTACACGACAGTTCATTTTTGCGGGCTCCTGAATTACTGGATTCCCGCGGGAACGAGTGGCAACATTGTGGCAATGTGTATAGAATAAATAAAAATAATGAAATAATACCAAAGAACCTATCAGGAAGGCGCTGGGTGCAGACCGCTATCAACAGGACCATGTGGAAATGATTGGCTATGATCAGCAGTGGACGTCCTATGGCTAAGGCTGAAATGATGATGATGATGAATAACAAAGACTATTTTACCTGCGTCTTTAGAGTCGTCCAGTATCTCTCCGGGGCTCGGTGGTGTTTGTTGTTCCTTTTCTGTCTCAGTTTCCATCGGCTTTTCTGGTTCTGGTTCTGTCCAAAGAAAAAAATGAAAATTAGTAACAGAAAGAATAAATAAATACAAATAATTTGCAGAATTGCCATTTTAACGAACTCGATGGGGCAGCAAGGTTCTGGAGTGGAGGCCACGTACCGGAAAACGCAGCGTGGGACCACTGTCCACCCACAAAGACCGACGACCTGATAAAGATGCAGGCCGCTACTAAACGTGCTATTTGGAAATCATTGGGGGAGGCCTATGTTCAGTAGTGGACGTCCTGTGGCTGAAATGATGAATAACATAGACTGGAAGGCGTAATGTTCCCAGGAGGTCTTTGTCCAGCTATGGACGTCGCTTGGATGAAATGAACAATTTTTCAGCGAGTTTCGATCCACGTGGTGAGTGACGTTCGAACCATTACACCAAGGCTGCTCAACCCCAGGCCCGCGGGCCACAGTGTGGCCCGTAAAAGAATTTTAAGTGGCACGCGCATGTATGTATAGTTTGAAAAAAAAAAAAAAAAGCGCACCAAATTAAAAAATCCCGCCGCGCACAGTACATACAAACGTTAAGACCTCTCTGAAGTTAGCTGTCAAAAATGTAAGTGGCCCGTCGTTAACGACTGAATCCACCATTTGGCTCGACTCTTCAAAAGGTAGCCTTGCATTACACCAACCAGCTATTTAGCGGCTCCTGCAAATCAATTCTATAATCTGGTCCGTGAGCACGTAGAATTTTGTGCTCGCACACTCAGTGCGGGCGCCCGTCGCACAGTCGCGACAGCAATATAATTACGCGTGAGCGATAAGGATGGGTAGCTAGGGGTCATTGGACAAAAAAACGTTCTACCGTTTCAGCTCGAAATGAAAACTTCTCAAAATGACAACCGAGGCGCAAAATGTCTTCTCGAAATGACAACTTCATAAAATGTCAACTTCGCTAAAAGACTATTTCTCATAATATCTTTTTCTCACTATGACAAATTCGCATTTGGTCTACTTCGCATGATGTCAACTACTTGTTGATATTTTATTTTCATTATTTCTAGAGTTCTAGTTCTTCTAGAGTTGTCATTATGTGAAGTTGACCAAATGCGAATTTGTCATAGTGAGAAATAGACATTATGAGAAGTTGTCTTTTAGCGAAGTTGTCATTTTGAGAAGTTGTCATTCCGAGCTGAAACGAATTCTACGTGCTCACGGACCAGACTTTAGTCACTACTCTCCGAAGGACACTGACCTGCCGCAGGCGGCGGGCGCGCCTCGTGTCTCTGCTTGAGCTGTCGGCGGCGGCGGCGCGCCTCCCGGCGGCGGGCCACCTGCCCCGGCGACGCCGCGCGCTCCGCCGCCGAACGCCGGGCTAAACGGAGCTTGCATTTGGCAGATTGGGACCGTTTGACAATTTGCGCTTAAAGGCTGTCTGTAGGACACTGACCTGCCGCGGGCGGCGGGCGCGCCTCGTGTCTCTGCTTGAGCTGTCGGCGGCGGCGGCGCGCCTCCCGGTGGGATAATATTTTTTACGGAACCCTTGCGGCCTTTCCAGGGAACCCCAGGGTTCCGCGGACCACCTTTCGGGAACCGCTGCACTAGAGGTTACTAAAGCCTGGTCCGCGACAAGCATGGGCAGCTTGGGGTCATTGGACGGGATTCTACGTGCTCACGGACCAGGCTTTAGAGGACACTGACCTGCCGCAGGCGGCGGGCGCGCCTCGTGTCTCTGCTTGAGCTGTCGGCGGCGGCGGCGCGCCTCCCGGCGGCGGGCCACCTGCCCCGGCGACGCCGCGCGCTCCGCCGCCGAACGCCGGGCTAAACGGAGTTTGCGCTCGATCTCCCAATGGACAAAACGAAGCTTATGTCGAATGTCCATGTTACGCCCTACCCAGTTTCAGTTGGGAGCTCAATTCTCGAGATTGTCGACAAGTATGTCTACCTCGGACAAACGATTCAGCTAGGTCAAGGTAGGACCAGACTTTAGTCACTACTCTCCGAAGGTGACTGACCTGCCGCGGGCGGCGGGCGCGCCTCGTGTCTCTGCTTGAGCTGTCGGCGGCGGCGGCGCGCCTCCCGGCGGCGGGCCACCTGCCCCGGCGACGCCGCGCGCTCCGCCGCCGAACGCCGGGCTAAACGGAGCTTGCATTTGGCAGATTGGGACCGTTTGACAATTTGCGCTTAAAGGCTGTCTGAAGGA